TGCAGTTCCTCAGCCCAGAAACACAACTTGAGCAAGTCCCTTGTGATTTATTCTTGATCTTACGCTCCCTCTAGAAATGCTTGCTGCTGACCCTGTCTGTTGGTTTAGCGCCTTGTTTTCTTTCTTCCCTCTAATTTTGAAGCTTCTTGAATCATCCAGTATTTTTTTTTAAGTTGAAGGCTCTCTGTAAAATTTTTCTAAAATCATTTTATTGGGGCTCATACAATTCATCACAGTCCATACATACATCAATTGTGTAAAGCACACCTATACATTTGTTACCCTCATCATTCCCAAAATTCGCTTTCCTCTTGGGTTCCTGGAACCAGCTCATTTTCCGAATCATCCAGTATTTCACCCCAGAATCTTTCAGCATTTTAACCGAAACTCTTAATTTTTTCTTTCTTTTTTGCAGCTTGAGACTTAATGTGGGCACTATTCCTGTTTGGCTTACTTATTCCAGGTTTTTGCACATTCCGTTGTAATAACTCTTCGGACACCCACCGTGTTCTTTTTCTTTTGCCTTTCTTCTGAACGGCATTTCTCTCTCTTTAGTTCTTTGGTCATTGGTGTTCAGTGTAGCAAGGCTGTTCTTGAGATGATCTCTAAATGTACATGGGATGCACTCAAGGGTCACACTTTGGTTCTCTTACACTCCGTGTGGGTACCAGTCCATAGCAACCGTGTCTTATAGCTACAGTGTCTATGCCAGAAGGAGAGGTCGCCTAATGTTGTACCTTCTTGTCAGTTGCTGTTCTATTTTAGCCTGTTGTTGCAGCCACTGTGTCTGTCCATCTTTCCAATGTTATGTGTTCCGTCACCAAACATTCTTTACTTCTTAGCTATTTAGTTCTCTACAAAACCTACACAGAACTCAGGCAATATTTATGATTAAGGGGTTTATTGATGAAGTCATCAGGTTGAAATGAAGGTGAGAATTACTCAGAATAGATTTGTCCCTTTAGTGCACGCTACAGAGTTCATGGGAGGTGCCGGGGTTGGGGATGGGATGCTATTAAATGCCAAAGGATGTGCCCCTCTGCTTTAAACCTCAGTCCAAACACATTCACTTCCAGCTCCCATGAGTGAGCAAACCCAGGTGTCCAAATTAAGGGCCTAGATGCACCCCCC